TGTTTATGGGATGTTTATAACCTAGTCTCTTGTACTAGCGCGACACCTGAATGAGCTTCAACGGCCTATTGGTCCCTCTTACTCGTCTGCCCGTTCTTTCTAAAAAATATGTCTACATATGCAGAGGCTTCCAAGCGTTCTTCAGTGTCTCATTCTTATTGAAACAGTGCAAACGAGTATGTGTTTTCGGCGGACTCATTTGCTTGTCCGTACGATCAAGTTTATAAGAAAACAGATCAGACAAGATCATATTTTCGCCCCCACTGTGTTGTGATTCTGTAAATGAGCACATCCTATCTTTTGACAGTATTCCTTATTTGTACGGGTTCCCTGCAAAATAGAAAAGTTGTGGCATCTGATCTGAGCATAATGTTGCTGGGAGCACATAAGGAATCTTGTTGTAATACTGTTTTTTTGTTAACACTTGCCCTATGCTTTTAAAGTGAACACGATAAGTTCTCTCTGGATAGTTACGGTTTCGAGGTTGAAAAGTTGTGACAATTTGCGGAGATTCAAGCGAAAAATGCATTGAAAATGTGTTTAGTAGAAAGCGTTGAATCAGCACGGAACAATGTGATATATAGGGACTGTTTCATGAGCGTACGTGGAACGTATAGTTGATGATTAGACCGATGAAATGCGCTGGAATAATAAGCCTCATTTGTAGGCTTCATTTATTTCACGCTTGTTTTGCAAAACAGCTTGGGTCCGTGTGCTAGGGTATTCTTGGCGGTGTTAGCCGGTTTCAATATCGTTCACGCTTAACGATTTTCACGTATAATCCTCAGAAAACCGAACTCAGTAACAGGATTCAACAACAAACGAGCCACTGGTTAGTGACTTCAGAGTTGTTTTTAAACTGTCTTTCTCTTCACCAATTTGTTTCTGGTTTACAGGTGCATTCTATTGATCTGATTGTGGAATTTTCTTTTTCTTGTATGTCTTGTTGGTGAATCATTTTTCTCCGTACTGACCGGTTCCAAAACCCTCCCCATCTCTCACTTAATCTACAGGTAACTTACTGCTTGAATCGCCGTTCGATTGGCATTCAGGTGGATCCGGATCGCAGTACCGTTCACCTGGGACGGACGTCGCTTTCATGCATAAGATCAATTGACTGGGAGACTAAACTATCCAGGTTAGTTGTTTTGGTTGTATTTCACGCGCCTCTGGATCCAGACTGTGTGCCAAACAATTCATGATACAATAATCTTTATAAAAAGAAAAGCGTTCCATGATTTGCATGTGGGCGGAATACTTCCAGGTTGCCCAGGCCCAGGTGGGTGAATTTTCTTGGGGAATACACAACCGGAGCCTTTCGCTAGCCAAAGCCTGACCAGCAATGCAACGTGGCGGTGTGAGAAAACCGCAATCTATCGGGGGCCGGTGTCTAGTTAGTTGGATTATACGCCCTTTGGACTGGGTGAAACGTCCAAGGTGCCCAATACATCTCGATGCCGAATCGAGCCGGTGACCACTGCCACCACCTGGAAGTTGTATTTATGCTTCGTAGGTCTCTTTTTGGATGCTTTGGAATCAGGGTATTTGGTTAACTCCCCTAGGTAAACTGCCAGTAGTTCATCAACCCGATCATAGCCCTGGATGTTGACTATTCGTGTTATCTCTTTGGTGGGAAAACCGCCACGGGAAGGCGGGCTTCCTCAGCGGAAGCTATTTAACACGCATGATCGTATAGGAGAATTTCGTTAGGTGTTAGGGAAGGGTGCCCAGCCGCAACCCTAGACACCCATCCCGACCATGCTAAGACTTTCGGAGATATTTTAGTTGGTGATGTCTTTTGCGTTGATTGTAATCAAGATCTGACTTATCCTACAGTTCGATCGGGGTCAGTTGTCTGTTCCGTTATTTTATTTTGTGTATGTTATTTTATGTATGTGATTCTTTTGAAAACTGTACTTATTGGGCTTCATCCCGTCATTTTAGGTCTGCATGTAGTACTGGGCCATTGTCTTCTATATAGACAGGACACACGCACTATCCGATGTTAGCACCAATCAAAATCAGTATCATTGGGAGACAAAAACCTCTCTTCTGCTCATCTGGTAAATTTTAGCACAGCTTCGGGAAGAGGACGTTCATCACCCTAAGAAACCATTCAATCTGTTTGTTTTTAAACTTTCCCGAGGGGTTATTCTCTAACTTTTCACCTCTTTTTGATTAATTTAGTTATTACCTCGTCAACTTCTCAATCAGAGTTTTAGTTTGTTATCCTCAACTTCTGTTCCATACCACCTAGTATCTCTCTGAACCAGCCCTCTGTCTCGGATACCCATTGGCCGTTTGCTTCCACGCGACTCGCATGCACCCTACTGGAACGACTTGCAGTTGCCGTGGCGCATCAGGAACCGGTGTTGTTGGTCGGTGAGACAGGAACCGGGAAGACCACGGCCGTACAGCGTTTGGCACAGCTCTGTGGTCGACATCTTCGTGTGATAAATCTCAACCAACAATCCGACAGTGTGGATTTGATGGGTGGGTAAGTAAGCAGTTAGTCTATGGAATCCCTCAAGTATACCGTTTAAGAACTACATGTGCACTACATTTTTTATTACATACTTGAGTGTGATAAACAGTAGGCGGCATAAACCCCAAAATCACCAAGGTCTGCTATTCAGTGATGAAAACTGGTATCCTAAACCCCGGAACTTGAAGTGGCGAACCACATAAGGCGCCGCTAGGCTAGGCGTGGTATTGAACCGGACGAAAGCAAAGCTACTTGCCGCAAAAGTTGGGTGGCGGTGGCGGGACTCGAATCTCGGACCATAGGGTCCAAAGCACGTTGATTATTAGCTAATCGGCTTTTGCGGAGAGCGTTTCTCGGAAGCCGGAGAACATTTGTTTTCCTTTCTAGAATCTAAGTACTTGTGATAAATCGTGGTGGTCTCTCTCTCACTAAAGCGCTAATTCCGAAGGTTGTGCTTGAACTCTACCACTGCAAGCTCAGTTTGCGGTGAGTAGTTTTACTGTTACGCCGACGCATATCACTCCTCTCTCGTCGGGTCTTTCTTGACGGTCTGATCTATTTCAGCGCTTCATAACAATTCTGCTGCGTAGCGTTAAGATTCAGTTCTTTCGAGTGCCCGATTCTCCGACGAATTTGCCCAATCAATGGTTTGGTGGGAGGGTTTTCGATGATTGGTCATTGTCTGATCTGGCACAGGTAGGATGAGATGAACGTGTTTATAAACCGCCTTAATGTGAGGAATGTTTCGGTCGAAAATTTGTTATCACGCGGCATTCGGAAGAGTAGGCTTCGGTACTTGAGGCTCGTGTTGTGTGTGTCTAACAGTGACCTTCTAAACCGCGCTTTGATTTCGGTTACCGTTCCATGTTAAAGAAAATCATGTGGAGGTCAAAATATGAGGCATTAGGAACTGCAAAGAAAGACAGGGTAGAATAGGATTCTATCGCATTCTAGGCCGATCTGATCGGAGATATTGCAAAACGTGACAGCGAACCAGCTTGAGTAACATCTCTGATGTCGTTTCTTATCAGAACAAAATGCTTGATCCGGTTTCTGTGCACAATTAGACTGTGTACTCTGTGTGTGGACTACAAGGTTTTAGCTTCCTCAAGACTCACCGTTCGTCTTACGCATTCGTAATTTGTGAGTTTCACAGCGATTGATGACGTTCGCTTCATTCTTTCTTACAGTAAGATCGACCGAATCAGATGTAATCATTCCACGATTATGATGGCATCACTGTTCCCTATCTGGTTCCGTATCTGTAAAATAGGACAGATTCCGGTTTAAAATGATTTTAGTATCGGTTAGCTCCTGTCAATTCATTTCTGCACACTGGTTGAGTGTGATTTCTTTTCACTGGCTGAAATTTTCCACGCCCCTGTGTTTCATGCGTCTCAGATTCAAACCTGTCGATACACGTGCCCTAATCCGTCCACTTCGGGAACAATTCGAGTCTCTTTTCTTCCGCACTTTCAAAACTGACACAAACCTGGCCTTTTTGGGTCATATCAATGTAAGTCATGGTTTTATTTGCTCGTCTAGGTTCCAGTTTACTAATGCGTTCTGTTTTAGCAGCTATTTTATCGTGATATAATTGCAACGGAAATATTTGTGGTGACCGACAAAGAGCGTTGGACAGCTGTTTCCTCTTGCTTGGGACTAGTCAGCAGTGCGTACTTTTTGTGTTCCTGTCGGGGATCGAACGGCGAGCCTTCGGCTTTGGACTTCAAACCCTTACCCCTGAGCTACACAGTCGAAGTCCATCTCCTTTGCGAATGATTCAATCAATTTAGAGTTTCATATTTTCAGATACACAGAACACAATAGGTACATACTACTGACGAGTCCCGAACAGGACTAAACAACTGTCTAGTGCTCTTTCTCGATCATCACAGATATTTCCATCATAGTTAAATGCTTCTCCCAAGGAGTGAAATCCATACCCAAGACCATCAGGAATGCCTGGTGTCTAAACAATCGAATGGTATAATCCAAATTTGTTACTATGAATTTCTTTCTGATATTTTTATCTCTGAGTGATTACGAGAGAAGTTTCTTTCAGAGAATGATCATGATGGTTTTATGGTAATATTCTGTGGCACGTGTCTGTAATCGCAATATCCTCATCGCCAAGGTCTTCAGCCCCGTCGTTCACCTGCTAATGCTTGCAATGATATCCTTGTTTCTGGTGTATCGACTCGGAAAGCATGTACATTTTCAGTCTGTATCACTTGGCTTTCAGTTTTTCGTTCGCTTTAGATTAGTTGTTTGGTTTAGCAACAGTGAGTTACTTGATCTAATTCTATATTTTGATTATTTTTTACACCTTTGTGTGATGAACAGCAGATCCGGTGAACCCCATAGTTACGAGGATCTACTGTCCAGTCATTAACTCAACAATCCGAGGTATTTAAGTGGCGAATCACATAGGACTCAGCTAGCTGAGGCGTGGTATTGAGCCGGACGGCAGCATAGCTACGTGCCGCCCGAATTGAGCAGCGGTGGTGGGGTTCGAACCTCGTCTGGCATTCTGTGTCCAATACCCTGTCTATAGGGTGGTCTTCTGTGATGCGTCATTCTATGGCATGAGGCGTAAGCTCACTACTACTAGAGCCTTCAGTATACTGATGTGACCATTTGGTTAATCCTTACTCGTTAATGTACTGTGCAAATACTTAACGCTCGTTTGGGTTGATTGTGTCTAAGGAATACTAATTCAGCATAACAAATGAACCATTCTCTAAGTGGCAGTCAGGTCGCCCTAACCAAAGCAAGTGAATTTCTCGGGGCTTCAAAACCTTACCCACAATACATCCGGGTAGTGTAAAAATCATTGTTCATCGACACCGGCACCCACTAAATCGGATAACGGCTCACAATCCAAATCCCCAGTACACGTCCGATAGCCCAATCGAACCAATCATTCTTATATACCCGTTCTTGCGGGTTTTCAAATTAGCTGCCCCCAGCTTATCTAAATGGTTATGTTATCGGAACCTAACGTTTTACCCTCCCCAAATTTGATGAGAATACCTTGAGCAATGGTAGCCAGCAATTAGGTGGGCTGAGAAAGATGCTTTAAGCTGCTTAGTATGATCCATGACGTAATATTTAGTAAATCAAAATCAGAGTGCTTATAAATGTCTTTCCAGCCCCAGAAAAGTTCATGAATAATGTTTCGAAGTGGAACTTCATTGTGAATTATCAATGCCTTGGTGGTGTCCAGATATGTGAAAAGTGTGATTTATTTTTCACTCATCTCCCCGGATGCCGCAGGTGAGTATAAAACGGGCGGTGGTGACTCGGTGGTAACTTCGCCAAATTACCACCTCGGGAGACGTGTGTTTGAACCCCACCACCCCTGTCCGACTTTCCCCATGGCAGCCCTTTGATTGGCCGCTTCCCCCTTCCTGAAAATTGTATAATTGTATATTCAATAAAAGGAAATAAAGTTGAAAAGAAAATTCGGATAAATAAACACACCACGGGGTGGGGGTGGTCTATCTGTGGTCCATCTCTTTTGTGTCCCAGCTCCCATCAATTCTAGTTCACAAAAGTTGGTTGAAATCGTATTTAGGTCCCCGAATCTTTGTGTCACAGTATCTCTGGTGACCTGTCAATCAGCTGGTACGTTTCTGTTCCCCTGTGAAAACCAATGGTCGGGAACAGAGGATGGGAAATATACATAATCGGTAACTAGACCGAATGAGTGTAAGTTCACTGAATCACACCACTGCACTCTTGGCATCACAAACGGAATTTGTTGCTCTTGAAATCTGGGCTGATGATGAGTAGTCAACGGGACCCACTCATGAAGTATCTGCGGCTTTTTATAGGAGGCTTCATGTAACTAGCCTAGTGTAAAATTAACTCAACAACGGAATTCTATATTTTTCGTGATTTACATCATTGCCAGCTTTTGTTATTTGATTCGTTTGGGATTTTTTATTTTCTCCTTTTTCGCATTCAGACCTGCTTTAACGAGAATCGTTGGCGTGACTTACTCACCCTGATGCGTCATCCCACACAAATGGCCATCGCCAAGTGGAACCAGGCGCAGTCTGCTCACAGCAATACGGCTGATTGCACAACCGCTGCATCCACGCTAACAGGATGGACCAGTCTTCTTCAACAATTGAATCAAGTTCAACTTCGGCTAGATGCATCCACCAAAGCAAATCAACCTGCCCTTGGATTCGCCTTCATTGAGGGTGCCTTGGTTCGTTCGATCCAAGATGGTGACTGGGTCCTGTTGGATGAAGTCAATCTGGCCCCGCCGGAGATGTTGAACTGTCTAAGCGGTCTACTCGACTCGAGTACTGGAAGTGTGACCTTGATAGAAAGAGGGTAAGTTGACCCCGATTGTTGGCAACACCCTCCATCGTGCGTTTGAGTTTCCCTGAATTTCCCACTTGAGTGCAATCGCCTCTCGTGGATGTTTTTCAACAGTCCTTTTGATAGATCAATAAATAAGCAAATCTGACTTGGAATGATTTAAGGTACAAATACAAACGATTACAACAACGAGTAGTACTGTTCACAACACTTAACAAAGTCATTGTTTCATTGTATCTACTATTCCAGGGACAAAACGCCGTTACGCCGAAATCCGCACTTCCACCTGTTTGCTGCCATGAATCCGTCAACGGATGTGGGTAAACGTGAACTGCCTGTAGGTTTGCGGAATCGTTTCACCGAGATCTATGTCCCCGAGCTGAATCCAGGTCTAACGACCGATACGGAACAAGTTGGCAGTGCTGATATAGGGAATTGTGCCTCAATCCGGGGCGCCGGGGATTTCAACGATCGGGAAGATTTATCCATTCTGACTCGAGCATACCTGGTTGCTTTGAATCCTACTCCGGCTCAAGTGACCACCATCGTACGCCTCTACGCTGCCTTGCGTCAAGCTGCAAGCGAGGGCTTGGTTGACGGAGTCGGACAACGACCCCACTTCAGGTAAGTAATCAATATTGAGGTGGGTGGATCCCTTGCTGCCCGACATGTTATCAATACCGGTTCTAAGGAGATAGTTTTCTGGTTCCCCTTACGCTCGTTCTTGGTTTCCTCGGCTCTTATCAAGCATCAAATGTTCAATGAACTTATATAACTCTGTTTTCCTACAATTCTCTTGATTCAAATCCGATTTCATAAAAGATCGGTGTTAGAGCCAGAAACCACGAGAAACCAATGGACTTCAGTGGAGATGGTTTTTGTATTTGTATAACTTGTGTAAGCATATATGCTTACAATTCAGTTAAAAATGTACACTGTTCATCACGCAGAGTGAAATAATAATAATAATAAAAACGAAAGGTAAAGAATGTCGGTGATATTTGTTTCATGTACAAAACTTGCGACGTAGTTCATTTGAGATCTGTTCCTTTTTGCTAAGTAGTCGGGCCAGTCAAGGTACAGGAGAATTTTTATAAATGTTGGTGCGAGAGGGTAGATGTCGAAATGAAGAACGTATGGACGGGTGGGAACGACAAGACAATAGATCAGGATGTATTAGATGAAGAGAGTCATCTAGAATTTTCTGAGCAAATTTAACACAAGAGTTGATGTGACCATCAATGAGATCTGTGATTAATGAATCGATCGGAGTTACTGATGCACGACTGATGATCACCAAACCACGGCGAATTGTTTTGAAGTCTTGTTTTAAAAGATCGGGAAACACTACAGGGGAACAATAGAGTAGAATGGGTCAAACTTATTGATGAACGAAAGATGACAGAACTGATTGTGGGGTTCGGAATTGTCTGAGTTTGCTCAACTGAGAAGACAGGCGTCTTAGTTTTCCCACACAGTTGTAGATATGCGTAGACCAATGAAGATTGCTGTCGATGGTGACGCCCAGGTATTTGGCTGAGGTCATTCTGGATACAGGTTTACCGTTAAGGGTAGCAGAGTTCGTTGGAAATGAGGAAAGACTGAAAATACACTACGCAATTAGATATGTTGAGACTGAGACCAGATTGGTCAGAAAACTGTTGGATGTGGGATAGGTTTTCGGTAAAAGAATGAAATTCCGAGGGAAATGAAACTGTCTGAGACAAAACAACGTCATCAGCATACTTTTGGATGTGCGCAAGAGGTGAGATCGAAAGATCACTAATAAAAGCGAAAA